ATCCTGCGCTGGAATACCTGTTCACAGGTGCCAGAAGTTGGTTGACTCCATGCAACACAGATGTGCAGCAGTTCTCAGAAACAGTGCTTATACAACTAAAATATTAATTAAGTGATTCAAAGGAAAGCAAAATCTTCAAACATTTTTCAGTTTATATAGTGAATGTTTGAGTTTGTAAAGAAGAATACAAACACTGCTATTTTTTGAACAGTCTAATATTCACTTTTCTTCAATTTATTTAGAGGAACAACACAAATTTGATATATTTTTCTTCATGTTTTGATTTGGAATAGAATGTGTAGTGTTCCCAATGCATTTGTGTGTATGGAAATAAAAGCTATTAGAAGGATTTTGAGCTTTATTCACATTTTTCAACACACTGCTATTATTTTGAACAACTGTACAGCTGCTTCTACAGGCTGAAGAAAAATTCTAAATGCCTGTATAAGCCTAGTGTACATAGACCCTAAAGAGCAACAGCAGACTGAGTTTGTTCTCTCCTACTGTCCACATGCTACAAGGAGCAGAAAGCTGCCACTGCAGGCTTTTCTGTGCTTTATGAGAACCCACCTTCATAAACTAGTCTTGTACTGTGTACTGTCAATATGATTTCCAGGTCTCAGCTATTGAAAAGACTTTAAATAGCTTTTGCCTTAGAGAGTAATTGGAGGTACTGTCCAATTAATTTCCTGCACATGTTAATGCTTCTGTTGAAGGACACGTTACTTATCCAAATGGATTTAAGCAGTTATTGATTGGGCTTTCTGCACATTATTAGCTTCAGAAGCATACTTCAGTAGATAAAGGTTTCATGTTCCCATTCATACGGCTTTTAGGAGACGTTATAGTAAATTTGTGTGAATTGCACAATCTCTAGCTGACATGATTCCTTTGCACAGAACAATCCTAAAGAAAAATGTAATAGTTATATAAGCTGATATTAAGCAAATTAAATTGTATTGTGTAGCCTGAATAATTGTAGAAATATTACATTTTTTGACTGCACAATATTGTCCATACATTTTCTTCTAAATTGGTGATTTTTACAAGCCCTATAGGCCAGTCTTTTTCAACTTTATGAAAATATATACTCCATTTTAAATGATGCTAATACCAGGTACCCCATGGTGTGATTTAAAACTGAACTCCAGACAACTGGCTAAATACACAGAAGAATTGGAATATTGGATAGGTGCTACCTGCCAAAAGATTTGTATTTTTGTTCATCCAGTCTTGATATTCACACAACTATGCCATGCTGTGCATCCATATCTGGCAGGGCATGAAATCTGGTTCTTTTCTACTGTAGTTATATAACACTTACATGTCTTACCCCCTCTCCCAGCCCATGATTGGACAGTGATAGAAAGAGAACACTGATGAGCTAATCCCCCTGTCACTTTTTCTCTTTTTTTTGGCACATAAGCACTGCAGTACAACTGACTGATTCCTTTTTCTGCTTCTCCCTTTGCCAGTCTGAACTATGCTGTTAAAAATGCAAGAGGCTAACAACAAGTCAAATTCAGATACTTAGGCTACTTATAATAAAACAGACATTTAATGGTGTATTAATGTGTGTGTTTTGCCTGGATAGCTGCCTGGAATTCAGCTTTAACAGCTTGACTTGCAGAAGGTTTTACCCTCTTCATGACCAGGGCATTTTTTGCTTTTCAGTAATGTTCTACTTTTAACTGGCAATTGCTCAGTCATGCAACACTGTAAACAAATAAAATGTATATAATTCTTTCACACAAATAAAGCTTTTGTTCAGTGGTATTTAATCACCACTGTTTTTTTTTATCTTTTGCTATATAATCTTAAAAACACTTTATATTTATACTTTTTTAGAATATTTAAAAAGAAAAACAGTTTTTCTTTATTTCTTATTGAAATAATCTTTCTTCATAAATGTAGGGCAAAATGTATTCTACTACATTTCTTTGGCAAAAATTTCCCAAATCAGTGCATATTCTTTAGTCTGTGTGAAGGTTATAGAATCTACAAACTATGGTATTTATATACTGACGGCCATTCTCATTTCTTGAGCCAGCACAGTACAAATATCCCCCCAATGAGCCCTTTTTGGAAAGTAGACCATATTTAGTAAGAGGAATGGTGAGTTTTTTGAAGTTGTAATTTTTTTTCAGTTTTTTTAATAATGAAAAAAAAAAAAAAAATTTACAAACTGTAACCAGTGCAGTGCAGCATCATCATATGACTGGTGTGGCAGTGATTAGGGATACTGACTGATGACAGTATGTTAGTAAAAAAAAAGTTTTGAAAAATTGAATAAAACATTTTTTTTAACATACTGTCATCAGTCAGTTTCCCTGATCATGACAACTTGCTTACTTTCTACATGCTGTGATTGGTTACTTCTAATCACATGGTACAGGTGACCAGGTACCATGTGATAGCTGTGGGACAATCACAGCATCACAACAGTAATCAAACTGTCATGAATGGAAAGCCATTCATGACAGTTTGCTTGCATAATATCATGTGATTACTATGATTGGTCACTCCGGATACAGTGGTCATGTGATCGCACAGTTGCGTGCCTCAGGGGGTGGGCTAGTGTGCATGTGCCACAAGATGTTCTGGTCTGGCTATGCTGCCCGCTCACAGTAAAAATACTGTGGGGAGGCGGAGAGTGGTTAGCTCATCTTAACATTTTTTGACGTTTCACTCTATATTGCATGAATATCACCTTCTTGTGTAGAAACATTTCTTCTGCTTTCTAAGTCACATAGCTTACCACCCAGTATAGGGCACAAACATAATTTTATAGTTTTCCTAGCCTTGAATAACTTTTTGGATACTGTATGGTCTGTCCCAAGATTGGCCATTCAAAATGTATAATTACAATGTAACCTGCCCTGTCAGTTTAACACATTATACATCTTTTGCACTTTTGTTTTCTTGGTCAGAGAGATTATTTAGTAGCAGACAAAAATACATATGTTACAGGATTTAACTATATAGAAAAAATAGAAAGTAGAAAAAAATTAACTACTATTAATATTGTACCAAAAACTTCACAGTGTACAGTCAACATCCCTTTTTCAATTTAGGAAAGCTTTTTTTTCTCTTTTGATATTTTTTTTCAAACACACAGATCAAAAGATTGTTTTTGCATAAATTGTTAGTTCAACATTAACCAAAGATTTTCAAATTTGTATGGATTAGAATTTGTGCAATGGAGTTACATTCACAGGTTTGTAATTAAATGGAGCCTTTTCATGAACATTTGATGGCTGTTCTGACCAACTGTCATGCAGTGTATGGGATTCAAATGTTATTTGGAATGTTAAGGGTTAAAATATAACTAAACCCTAAATCAATACACATACATGCATAAAGATACATAAATTACATGAATTATCTCGCTACACTAAAGAAATCTGCATCACTTGTTTTTTTATAAGCCAACTTTATTTGCCAACTACCACTCAAAAAAAAAATGCTGTAGACACAGGCAACCATCAACCTCTGTATACAAGGGTGACAACACTACTCCTGCAGAGGCACAGACTATAGCAGTAGAGAGGTTAGTGGAGATGGGTTTTTCTGCATGTTAGCACCAGGCTGCTGTCCTCAGGATCGCCCAACACTAGAAAGTGAGCAAGCTAGGGTTTAGTAGCTTATATAGCAGGTAGGGATCAAGCAGGAGCATAGTAGGTAAACAAGCCAAAGGTCATTAACAAGTGGTTGCAGGTTAAGATCAAACAGATGCATAGTCAAAGGTCTGTAACGAGTGGTAGTGGAGATAAGAACACCTACAGGTATGCAAAGAAGCAATATATCGGCTGGAGATAGCACAATAATCTGGCAAACAGGAAGTGTAAAGGCATGGCTTAAATATGAAGTTCATGGGAGCAGCAAGAACTTCAAACTTCTTTGCGTTACTGAGGTGTAAAACAGTTGCATTCAAATAATTACAAATACTGTCTCAGGACATGCACGTTTTGGTCATAGCTACATACACTATATTGCCAAAAATATTGTGACACCTGCCTATACACGCACATGAACTTTAATGGCATCCCAGTCTTAGTCCGTACGGTTCAATATTGAGTTGGCCCACCCTTTGCAGCTATAACAGCTTCAACCCTTCTGGGAAGACTGTCCACAAGCTTTAGGAGTGTGTCTATGGGAATGTTTTACCATTCTTCCAGAAGCGCATTTGTGAGGTTAGGCACTGATGTACGACAAGGCCTGGTTCGTAGTCTTTACTCTAATTCATCTCAAAGGTGTACTTTCGGATTGAGGTCAGGACTCTGTGCAGGTCAGTCAAGTTCATCCACCCCAAACTCGATCATCCATGTCTTTATGGACCTTGCTTTGTGCATTGGTCGCAGTCATGTTGGGACAGGAAGGGGCCATCCCCAAACTGTTCCCACAAAGTTGGGAACGTGAAATTGTCCAAAACGTCTTGGTATGCTGACACCTTAAGAGTTCCTTTCACTGGAACTAAGGGGCCAAACCCAACCCCTGGCAAACAACTCCACACCATAATCCCCCCTCCACCAAATTTTACACTTGGCACAATGCAGGTAGGCAAGTACCGTTCTCCTGGCAAAACCAAACCGAGATACATCCATCAGATTGTCAGACAGAGAAGCGTGATTCATCACTCCAGAGAACACGTCTCCACTGCTCTAGAGTCCAGTGGCAGCGTGCTTTACACCACTGCATTGCACTTGGTGATGTAAGGCTTTAGATGAAGCTGCTCGGCCATGGAAACCCATTCCATGAAGCTCTCTATGTGCTGTTGTTGTGCTAATCTGAAGGCAACATGAAGTTTAGAGGTCTTTAGCTATTGACTCTGCAGACAGCGACTTCTGCGCACTGTGTACTTCAGCATGTGCTGACCCCACTGTGTAATTTTACATGGCCTACCACTTTTCTGCTGTTCCCAGTTGCTTCCACTTTATTATAATACCAGTAACAGTTGATTGTGGAATATTAATAGCAAGGAAATTTTAAGGATGAACTTATTGCACAGGTGGCAACCTATCAAGGTACCACACTTGAATTCACTCCTGAGAGTGACCCATTCCTTCACAAATGTTTGTGGAAGCAGACGGCATGCCTGCATGCCTAGGTGCTTGATTCTATACACCTATGGCCATGGAGGTGATTGGAACACCTGAATCCAGTGATTTGGAGGTGTATCAATACTTTTGGCAATACATTCTTTAGGGCACTGATGATCAGTGTGCCTTGATGATCAGTGTAGCTCCAGCAGTGCCACCTGTCAGTGTCCATCAATGCCAGCTGTCAGTGCTCATCAATGCCACCTGCCAGTGCCCATCAGTGCCTCATCAATGCCACATATCAGTGCCTACCAGTGCACATCAATGCCACATATCAGTGTTCATCTGAGCTGCCTTTCAGTGCCACCAATCAGTGCTGCCAGTCAGTGCCGCCTATCAGTGCCAGTCAGTGCCGCCTATCAGTGCCCATCAGTGATGCCTATCAGTGCCGCCTAACAGTGCCAGTCAATGCCACCTAACAGTGTCAGTCAGTGCCGCCTATCGGTGCCATATATGAGTGCTGCCTTTTAGTGCCCATCAGTGATGCATGTCAATGTCCATCAGTGCCACTTGCCAATACCTCCTCATCAGTGTCCATCCGTGCCACCTATCAGTGCCCATCAGTGCAGCCTATCAGTGCCCATCACTGATGCCTCATTAGCGCACATCAGTGAAGGAGAAAACTCACTTATTTACAACATTTTATAACAAAAACTAAAAAAAAACATTTTTTTTTTCACAATTTTCAGTTGTTTTTGGTTTGTTTAGCAAAAAATAAAAAACCCAGAGGTGAATAAATACCACTAAAAGAAAGCTCTATCTGTCTCAAAAAATGATAAAAATTTTATATGGGTACAGTGTTGCATGACTGCGCAATTATCATTCAAATTGTGACAGCCCTGAAAGCTGAAAATTGGCCTGGGCAGGAAGAGGGTGTAAGTGTCCTGTAAGCAAGGGGTTAAACATACAATCATAATATAATAAATATAGAGAAAAACAAAGTGGGAAATAAGAAAGTATGGGACATTACTTATGAGGCAGTAATATATGTATTTGATGCATATTCTAAAACATACTGCATGTATGTAAATTTTAACCATTAATACCAGACATTCTGGAAATGGTTCAATTTATTATTTTAAATAGTTTTTCTTTGACCATTAACCTCAATTAATTGTCCAGTTTAATTGAGAAAATTAAAGATTCAAGATTTATGGTGAGTTTCATGATCTAGCTATAGTAACTTTAGCTGAAAGTAAAATGTGTGAAATTAATTTCCTGGAATGTCTAGGAATGCTGGGAATGAAAGTAGGTTTAGGTAAAGATTTGATAGTGAAGAAATTTCTGAGTTAATATAGATTTGGTCCAAACTTTGTAGACTTTCAGACAAGTCCACTAAATAGCGCTTTACAACGTGAGGGCAGACAGTAGAGTTACAATACAATTCAATACAGGAGGAATTAGAGGGCCCTGCTCGTTAGAGCTTACAATCTAAAAGGGAGGATCAAGTAATACAAAAGATAATAACAGTGGGGGATGAGCTGATGGAGAAAGTGGAAATACAGTTGTTAGGTGGAGGTGAGATAGGCTTCTCTGATGGAATATGGAAAACTATTCCAGAATTTTTTGTTTTCTAAAACATAAACGACTGTGTTTGAACTCTATTTAGCAACAGTTCTGGTTCCATGCACCATGCGCAGATCACTTTGTAGTTCACTTCAACATTCTTGGTATTATTGGATGTTGAAAATGTCCTTCTTGTTAATATATGCCAATCAGCAAGATCTATTGTTTCTCCTAGATCTAATTCCCAATTACTAATATAAGATAATTTGTCTTTAGAGGAGGATAGGAGTTGATGAAGGGAAAAAATATGTTTTAATTGTCTATTGAAATTTCTGCATAACATTTCAAAAGGAGATATTTTGTCTCTTTTACCATAAGACGAAAGTGTGTTAGTGAAATTAAGGATTTGTATTCAACAATGGTTTTCTTCTGTTGTGAGTTTTTTCTGCAAAGTGTCCAAGGATACATCTCAGTAGTCCTGTATTTGTACAGCATTTAAATTCATCTGAATGAATTCCTTCAGTAAAGGTAGGGTTCTTAAGTGTAGGAGCTAATGTGGAATGAGAAGATTGAAAATGGTATTTAGAATTCAGTGTGTCTCATAATGCTAGTGAGTGGAATAGAAGAGGGGCTAAATATGATAGGTAGACAATTAGGTTTGATTCACATTACGAAATCTATAGGGAGTGGTGAACAAGCTTGGGAATCAGTTTGGGCCAATTGAGGTAGGTAGGCTATGTGTCAGAGTCTGGGACTGAACCTGGGCCTTCTGCAGTGAGTGGCTATGTTTCTTTTTGCTGAGCCACCTGGAATGCTGGCACAGCTCCCTTGACAATTATTTGGATGATCCTACCTTGACCTTGTTTGTCATGAACCTTGAACCCCTTGCTCCTCCCATGAACTTCCTGATATAAGCCATGTCTCTGCACTTCCTGTTTGGCAGATTATTGTGCTCTCCAGCCAGTATCATGCTCCTTGTCCTCTCTGTTATTATCCATATTTTGCTACCATTTGTTATTGACCCTTGGCCCGTTCTCCACTACGCTTCTGCCTTATCCCAACCAGCGACTGCTTATTACCGACCTTGGCTTATTTTACTGACCACGCTTCCATTTGATCCTTACTTGCTTATATGCTACTGGACCTCCTCTTGCTCACCTCCTGGTGGGGTGATCCTGAGGACCGCGACCTGGTGCTAACATGCAGCCAAATCCATCTCCACCATCAGGAGCTCTGGTGAGCACCAGTTGGTACTTTGACTCCACACCTCAGGTGATCCCACACCTCCGCCATGGTGACCTGCCTGTGTACCTATCCTGCTGGTTTCAGGTGAGCCTTTCCACTGCTATAGCAACTGGTCTTCGAGCCTGACCCCTGATAATGACACTATGCTTTCTATAAAGTTGTATTAACTGACCAAACTGTGCTGATTAAAAATATGAAAAAGATTTGGCATCTCCAAACCACCTTGCCTTTTAGGAGTATATAGTAAATGTTTTCGGGTCATGAGTTTAAGTTTGCCCCATTCAGATTTCAAGAGTTTGAATTGCGAAGAACCTGAATCCTTTGTAGCTATGTTTATTGGGAAAATATGGAATAAATAGTGGATTGTTTTTTTTTTTTTGGGGGGGGGGGGCATTTTTAGTGCATAAAGATGACCAAACCAAGAAGGGGGTAATTTCCATTTATCTAGATTGTTTTATAGCTTTCTAAATAGGGGTGGTTAATTTAAGTAATAAAGGTGTGGAAGGATGGTGTTAATTGTATATCTAAATAGAGTGAAGAGGATCACCATTTGAATGGGAATGATATCATCAATGTTTTCATGGTGTGTTTATCCAAATTGATATTCATGGCTTGTTGTGATTTAACTGGAGACTGGATTTTTTTTATTTTGTAAACTCAGAATAGATATTGTAAAGGTGGTTAGGAACATCAAAATTACATCTGCAAATAAAACGCATTTATGCTCTTGATCTTTTTTAAAGATACCCTTTATCAGTGGCGGACTGACCATTTGGAAACTCGGGCACCGCCCGAGGGACCGGGGTCAGTAGGGGGCCCCATGAGATGCCCCTGATACCTTTTTCATAGACTTTTTTGAGTTTGGGCAAGGACACAGGGGCCACTTGATCCCCTACTGCCCGGGGGACCCATGAGTTGTCAGTCCGCCCCTGCCTTTTATATTAGGATTTTCAGGTATAATTATTTTCAATGGTTCTATTGCTAATACACAAAGTTTATGAATACCTCCTATAGATGGAAAATGTTTGAGATTTGTAACCTTTAATGGACAAAAAAGCAGGTGTGTTTTATAGGGATTTTAAAATTTAGGGCCAAATCCAATTTCCATTTTAGAGTGAGGATCAAATATTCCCATGATAAAAAAATTAAATGCTTTCAAAGATCGAGGGATAGAAAAATACCCTTTCTGTTTACTTGCTTTTCCCAATTTGATCAAACAATAGACATGAGAACAAGTACTTGTCTGATTTGATCTGATGTTTAGCGAATTGGAATAAAGTCGACTTGGTCTTGATGTTTGTATTGAGATATGAAGGTGTTAAAAAGTTACTAAACCCACAACAGTAAAATCAGTAAAATCAGTCTGTATATGCAGTAAAGCATACTTGTTATACTCACTGTGGAACCTCAGGGACTAAACCTCTGCATTGTGTAAAAAGGCTGTTTCATCCTGTCTTCTCTGATCCTCTCCTTGTACTATGCCTAATCTATCTGCAGATAGTACAGACCTCTAGGAGTCACTCTGCACATGCTCAGTTTGGTGTGTAGTGTTTTTTTATTTTCTTTGGGAGGGTGCATGTGATCAGCACAGAGCCAATCAGCACTGTCCAGACAGAGGGTCAGGGGTCATGCAGCCTCATAGGACAGTCAGAGCAGAATGAAACTCCTCCTACAGGAGCTCAGCTGGACACTAATAGAAGTCACAAGACTGCTATATACTGCTGATGAGAAAAGGTATTTAGCAGTTTATGTTTGCTACAATAATTTCATTTCCATGTAGTGTGTACTGTGGGAGACCAGATATAGTGAATGCAGAGTCCTGGGTTTTGTAACACTTTAAATGAGTTTTAAACCCTCAAAGTGTTTAGCTTAACACATTGAGCTCAATAAAATAAACATTTCCCAGTAAACTATTTGTTAAAATTTCTACCCCAGCATTTGCAGTTTTCAGTGTTGCTGGCTCATGCCCTCACAGTTCTGCTTCCCTGAACTTCCAGTCTTCACAGGAAACAGTTAACAGTGGCCAGTCTCCAAACAGTTTGTTAGCTTGGAGAAGGGAGGTGGAGGAGGAGGGAGGAACAGGGGAGTGCTTTGCCATCCTAGGCCATGTCGCTGTGCGTTTCTATTGAGCACACATAGTAGGGTAGACACAACTCTAGTCCCTACATGAAAGAGTAGCTCCATACAATACTGCAAGAGAAGGGAGCCATCCTATAACAGGAAACCTAATTATGTGATCCAATGGTGATCGTGACACCAACATAACCTGGAATATAGGCGAGAATTAATAGTCCATTCACATTCGGTGGGGTGGGATTGCACTGTACAGCTATTCCAGCACAGGTCAGTACAGGCCACAAACCAATATAGTCCACTAAAGAAGCTGCATATTTAGTAAGTAATTAAATCAGCTGCTGAGAGTTATTAGGTAAATGTTGTTATTTATAAGGGAATAGGATAATTTGAGCCATTTTATCAATCTTTTCTTTTAGGAAAATGTATATATCCACTTGCCCTCCGGAAGATGACCAGGCCATTTTTTGCTTTATGGCACTGTGCTAAATTAATTGAAAACTGTACAAAAATAAAGTTTATGTATTTTTTTTCACATAATTAGAGATTTCTTTTGGTGGTATTTGATCACATCTGTTTTTTTTTTTTTATTTTTTGCGCTATAAACGGAAAATTTTCAAAATATATTTTTTACTTTTTTCTATAAAACATATTCAATAAAAAAAAATTCTTCATAACTTTAGGCCAAAATGTATTCTTCTATATGTCTTTGGTAAATAAAAATCCCAATAAGCATATATTAATTGATTTGCGTGAAAATGATAGTGTCTACAATTAATGGTATAGATACTGTAATTTTTTTTTTTTTATGTTAGTAATGGCGACAATCAGCAACTTATTGCAGGACTGTGATAGTACTGCGAACATGCTGACACTGGGTGGGAACTGACTAACTGCCACTGACATGTTCACTGACACAAATACAGTGATGAGTGCTAATAAAAAGCACTGTCACTGTACTGGGCAGGTAGGAGTAAACATCTGGCTCATTTAAAGGATTGACTGTGTTTTGGTGAATGTGATTACTATGTACAGTGTGCTATTTGACTAGGGAATGTGCTGGTTTTTATCTCCCTGCTTTGTAGGGAGAGAAAAACCAGCACATCCCCACTTATAGGAGAGGGATCTGTGTTGTTTACATTCAGATCTCTCTCCTGTCAGTTGATCCACCGATTGCCGGGTCCTGACCATGAATCGCTGGAGGGAACCCGATCATTGACATGTACAGGAGCCAATGACAGTGGGGGCAGGAAGGGGTGCACCCCCTCCCTGAAAATGCAGTATCAAGTATTTATATGTGTTTCTGCACAGAGAGTCGCCCTGTAGCAGTAAAGCTTTACTTTTTAAACAATAGGATTACTAATTCTAATGCTATTAAAGTAATCACAGAGATATGGAATTAGTCTACATACTTTTTGTAATATAAGCCAGAGAATCCATCAGTCCTCGTAAACCTTTGAAGGTTTCATTTGTTTTATAGTCAATTTGATCTCTTCAATCGTAAATGAATCATCCGCGAGGGACTTATGAACAGGAGACAGTTATAGTTAACTGTGAAAATCATATTTCTGGTTTTGAATAAAGGGATGTGTAGAAGTTATGAAATTCTTTGATTATGAATTGAAGATTCTGTGATAAGAGACCACTGGAAAAGCATAATTTGGGAAGCACAGTAAAGTTTGGTCTAGGAGTGAGTTTTTGATGTGGTAATTTTCCCTCGGTATAAAATGTATATTTTTTCTACCTTATCTAGATACATTTTTCTGGGATAAATAGTTTAGTTTGGGTTAACCACTTGACCTCCGGAAGGTTTTACTCCCTTCATTGCCAGGGAATCTTTTGCTATTCAGCACTGTACTACTTTAACTGGCAATTGTTCACTCATGCAACACTGTACCCAAAATAAATGTGTATCATTTTTTCACACAAACAGAGCTTTCTTTTGGTGGTGTTTAATCACCACTGTTTTTTTATTCTTTGCTATATAAATGAAAAATACCAAAAATTTAGAAAAATATTTTGCTATTAAATAATATTTATGCACAAATTTAGGACAAAATGTAGTCTTCTAAAAATTACCCAAATCAGTGTATATTATTTAGTTGAGTGCCTATCTAATTTCTTGAGACCCAGGACAGTACAAATACTCCACAAATGACCCCTTTTTGGAAAGTAGACAGTTCAAGGTATTTAGCAAGAGGCATGACGAGTCTTTTGAAGTTGTAATTTTTTGTCACTGGTGACAGTATGTAAAAAAAATACACATTTTTTTTTTTAAAATTCATGTTAAAGACTTTGTTTAACTATTTTTTCACATACTGTTGTCAACATAGTTAAGTGCTGCCATAATGACATTGTACTACTCTGAGGGGGTGATCAGGATTTTTTTTTTTACACTGTTATTGCTTATAACAGTGATGATCACTGTCATAAGCAATAGTTTTAACTGCCATGAATGGCTTACTGTTGTGATGCTGATCACATGGTACAGGGCAGCAGGTACCCTGTGATAGCTATAGGCCAATCACAGCATCATAATATTAAGCAAGCTGTCATGAATGGCTTCCATTCATGACAGTTTTGCTTATATGTAATCATGTGATTGCTATGATTGGTCATAGTGATCACCTATTACCCCAGCCGCTATGAGCTGCTAGGTGCCGAGGACCGTGATCCAAAGATCATTGTGTAAAATGTTTGGTTTGGTACTGGGGGGCATATTATGATATTCTGCATATTATATGTCAGTGGATATTATCAGCAACCACAGTGAATTAACCATAAATCTCTTTTATATTGGTGTGAGTTATAAACAGAACCTCTTGACATGTGACTCCTCTTTTTTCTTAAGGACTATTTGACATATAAATGAGAGGGTAATTATGGTGAAGATTGGTTGATTCAATTGTGTTTTTTGGAGTAATAAGATATTAATGTTTGAGAAATGATATTATTGGAATACCAAAGTTATTTTGTTGAGGGAACTAACATTTTGGCTATTATGTCTTTAAATGTTGTCATAGAAATTGATGTGGCCAAAAGAAGATGGGTATTAGGGGAAAGTATCTAATGAGCAAGAAGAAAGAGAATAAGGTTTGGGGAAAGAAAAAGGGGCAATAGTGGGCAAGAAATAAAAGTAAAAAATATTTAAATAACATAAAATAAAATAGAGTAACATAAATCTAATATTTTAGAAGTATTGCTGACAGGTCTAGGTGCTAGGAGTTTTTTCAATGTCGCTAAATCAAGTACCTTTTAGTAGGCATGCTAAGCCTCACAGCACTATTATAGGTGCATTTTTTATGTCCATAGAGGCTAGAAAGCCTCTGTGGTGAAGGGAGGTGGTGAATTTTTGAGGTTGAGAATTGGACTATACAGTAGTCTTGGTGATTGGTACTTGTTATGACACCCCCTCCCTCCTAGATTGTAAGCTCGAAAGAGCAGGGCCCTCGATCCCCCTCATGTTTTGCATTGTATTGGTATTGTTCTGTCACATGTTCTGTCCCCCTTTGTAATGTACAGCGCTGAGCGAACTATTGGCGCTTTATAAATACTGTATTATAATAATAATAATAATAATAATAATGACAGTTCCCTATCATGTATCATATGATATAGCCAGATTATCTTTTGGGAGAGGCAGCATTAGCGTGTAGTAGTATCACTTATAAAAAGGTAAATTGCATTAACAGAGATGGTGCAAAGAGAGTATATAGTCCAGAGATCAGAATGTAATTAAAGGATATGTACACATTTAGGAGAATGTTACACCCATATTTAGGGTGTAACATGCAACATGCTCCTATGCACCCACCTCCTGCACACCAGAGCTCCCCTCTCTGACAGTGGGCAGGGGATCTTCTCCCTGCACCCGCTGTCACAATTTGAAAACAATGCCGCCATGCGGGGCCCCACTTACATGGTGAAAGGAGGGTTGAGTTAGTGAGTAACGGCAGCTATTCTCTGTAAAAATAAAAAACTGTGATTAATTAAACTGACCAAAATCATCAGAAAAGAAAGAATTAACTGTATTTATACACGCTTATTGTCCACTGTTCACTATTCCTATGGTTATAAATTAACTTTCTATTGTGTCTTTGAGGACAAAAAATACTTCTGTCCAGGAGCGGACTGACCATTTGGAAACTCGGGCACTGCCCGAGTGCCCGGGGTCAGTAGGGGGCCCCATGAGATGCTCCTGGTACCTTTTTTCATAGGCTTTTTTGAGTTTGGGCAAGGACACAGGAGCCCCATGATCCCCTATTGCCTGGGGGCCCCATGAGTTGTCAGTCCGCCCTGCTTCTGTCTCATCCCCCACACCCCCTTTAACCACTTGCCCGCCAGAAGATTTACTCCTTCCTTCCTGACCAGGCCATTTTTTTTGCATTACAGCGCTGCATTACTTTAACTATCAATTGCGCGCGGTCATGCAATGCTGCACCCAGATGAAATTTATGACCTTTTTTCCCTCAAATAGAGATTTATTTTGGTGGTATTTGATCGCCTGTGTGTTTTTTATTTTTTGTGCTATAAATAAGAAAAGACTGACAATTTTGAGGAAAAAAACTATATTTTTTGATTTTTTGCAATTAAACATGTCCAATAAAATAATAAATAAAATCAAATTTCGTCATAAATTTAGGACAAAATGTATTCAGCTATATGGCTTTGCTAAACAAAAATCCCAATATGTTTAAATTAATTGGTTTACGTGAAAATTTACAAATGGCGTATATACTGTATAGAGTTTACAAATGGCTTATATACTGGAATTTGTTTTTTCATTATTTTTTTTTTACTAGTAATGGCGGCGATCAGCAACTTATAGAGTGACTGCGGGACTGTGGTGGGCATTCTGACACTTGGGGGGAACTGACACCAATACAGTAATCAGTGCTAATAAAAAGCACTGACACTGTACTAATGCAACAGTGTGCTTTACTATGGGCATGTGCCTGTGCTTTCCACTGTAAGCACACTGCTTCGTATGGCTCTGCTATGCAGAGCCATACAAAGCAGTGTGCTGGAGCTGACAGGGAAGAGAATTGTATTGTTTACATACATACAGTTCTCTCCCCCCGTCAGTATTACTCAGCGATCAATGGGTGCCGGTGACCTGGACCCAGTGATTGACAGCTAGGGCCACGAATGGCGGCACGGGTAGGGCACGCGTGCGCCCCCTACCCAGAAATGCAAAATCACGTATATATACATGACTTTGCACACCCCTGCCTCCCTGTAGCAGTATTTCTGCTATAGGGCAGTGGTAAAGTAGTTAAATAATCACAGGCTTTAAAAATAATAATAATAAACTCCCTAGATGTCCTTTTTGCTCACCTAAATCTTTGGTCACATGGCATTCAAGTGTCCAGTCTTCTATTTTCTTCTGTACACTGGAGACAGGGTCCTTCTTCAGGTGTCCACATCATTCCCAGTATGACGTGAACAAATGTTTTGACAGTCTAGGGTCGGGGTTCTCTTTAGGATTCAAAAGAGACATTAGGTGAGCATAATACAGTATTGCTTCAAAAAAGAGCAAAAGTACAATGGGTAAGAGGGGGTGGGAGGTTGCTTAAGTTTTGCTTGGAGATGGGTTTAAAGCCCAGTTCTGGGCAATTTTAATTTTTTTACTGGTGCCGTAACCTTAGAAAAAATAACCATAACCTAATCATACTACACAACTGCTCCCATCAAGTCAGGAATTTGCCTCATGTACAGGGAAGCCAGTAATTGGGGAAGCCGATGTAGAAGTAATCAGTAGCACAATTCTACTATCTCCCTGCTTCATGATGTCTGGATTGCACACCACCACTCACTGAACTACAACTCCCCCCCCAAAAGGATAGGAAATATTCCGGGGGGTGTGAATTAACCCCTTCCTACAAGGTTGGATGATTCACAGCTTCATTAAAACCCACTTCCTGTGAGTCCAGGCCAGGGTATTATGCATCAATCCCTGAAGGATAGAGAAAAACGGGTATAAATAGGGGGGCGAACTGTTTCGCTGTGTTACAGGCCCCATAATATTTTGATCTGGATATCCAGAACTGCTTTTCATCATTTAACACCCCACAATAGTTTGTAAAGCTTTTCAGTTGCCTAGCATTTCTCATGATCATTTGCTCCAGCATGTCCTCCATTGATCAAGGAGTGGCATTGCATGGTTGCGTGCAACAATTATGAACAATACAGAGCAGTAATAGACAGCACATTGAAGCAAATCAGGAATTGGTGACCATTTTTTTGTGTAATTTTTGTCTGTGTAACTGAAATTCATTAACGTTAATAAATTTTTTGGGTTTAAACTTCGTATGTCCTTTCTGTGGTTCTTCTGTGCATTTTACCATATTGAAATGTACAATATGTGTGTTACAAATATTCTATTATTCTTGCCCAAACTCTGTGTTCTTCCTTCCTGGTTCTATTCACAGCTACAAACATAAATTTTCCAACCCTAAGAAAATAATTCTCTGGTGATTGTTTATAAAAGGTTGCCATTCTTTTTATAGTGTTGTGCCTAGCAATTTAACCTATCACCCTAACCTCAGCATAATCTATAATCTTTTATTCTAATGGGCAGAAAAGGAAGTTGAAGTTAACAATGTTGTGTCTTGGTAATTTTTTACACACTTTTTTGCCCAGTCTGAATGTTTAACTTTTATTTACACTTCAACTTGGCAAACATATTGGATGAAATTTTACAGAGAAAGGATTCAAAATTAAAACTATATGAAAAGCTATTGTACTATCCTGCCTTTTTAAATAGGTCTCACTATACTGTATAAAACCTGTAATTTCTAGCAGATATCTATTTTTTTTTACTTCTGGTACTGTTTTGCCTTATGGGCAGAGATAGTTTATGTGAAGGAATGAAAATGATGGACCATCCTCTTTTTTTCAGATTGGGACCACTAAGATTTGCTGTTTTTTCCCAAGCATGGATGCCATTGGGTATAGAAGTGGCACTCATTTGTTGAAAGGTTCAATCAGTTTTCTCCATTGGAGCCATCAGCAGCTGGTTATATAGACCTTGTGCTAGACAACGTCTGTGTGTTCATAAACATCCAATATAAACCACTAGCAGGGGCGGACTGACAACTCATGGGGCCCCAGGGCAATAGGGGATCATGGGGCCCCTGTGTCCTTGCCCAAACTCAAAAAAGCCTATGAAAAAGGTACCAGGGGCATCTCATGGGGCCCTCTACTGACCCCGGGCCCTCGGGCAGTGCCCGAGTTTCCAAATGGTCAGTCCGCCCCTGCCCACTAGTTAATCCCTACATAGCCCAGCAATCGCCCATTCATCACAGGCAAATCTCAAATCTGTTGCATTACTTGTCACTATGAGAAGGTATATGGATACCCCTTAGCAGTGTTCTATTTAGTGGTAATCGTTTGACTCTGTCTTTAACTAGGGTCAATTTTTCTTTCAGCTCTGGTTGTTATGCTTAGTTCTGTTTTTCTATGCTCTGACACTGCTGAAATCTATTCTGTGTTTGATATTCCTAGCCTGCCTTTCATATTCCCTCTGTCATGGCTCTATCAAATGTTCTGTCTTTGAATAGGGAAAGTCAAGTGCTTGACTTCTTGAATTTTTAAGTCGCAGACTAAGGAGTCCCAAGATCATAACCTTTCCTTTAGGCTTTATTATACCATGATTCATTGATGGCTTAATCTTGCTGTCTCTGGTATTCTAAGTGTGTAATCCTTGCTGGAAATATAGATAGGTACTTATGAAAAATATAGGCAGGGCAATTTGTCCACCTCTGGACCGTGGAGGACTAGAGGAAAGCGAAAAGAGAGGAGAGGGGAATATAGTGGCCACTTAAATATTTCAGGTTCCTTATATAGCGCATAGGGTGTTTTGGAATTTTACAATTTCAGGCAAAACTTTTTACCTGTTTTGAATGACATAGTAAAAACATACTGTATCTGTGTCCCATTACGTGGATTGATCCTTTTTGTCCCGGTGACCATTATCAATAAAGGGGAGGGGGTGGGGTTGGGTTGTACTCTTTTTTTTTTTTTTTTTTTTAGTGGCACCTGTCAAAGGTGGTATTTCCCTCACTAAGAAAAGCTTGTAGAAGCCCCTATTTTTGTGCATGGTCTATATTTCTTTATAATAAAAAACACTCTCTATTAAATAAAAGGGCTCATAATTTACATTTGCCTACCACAACACAAATGCTAGATAGAAGATAGCACCTAAAGTGTAACTAAAGACAAAATGTTTTTTTTTTTTTTTGGTTTTGAATAAAGAGAAAGATTAAACTACTGATCAGTCTTTTTTGCGGTCTATACCCCCATTCAGGAGATTCGCCCTCTCTAATTGCCCTGTTTACAATTATCATCAAAAGTGAAAGTAGAAGAAAATATCAAATTTTGGGTTGACAACAAAATGGTTTTTGAGGGGAAGCCTTCCATTGGGTACACTAGTTCTGGTGACCCTGGTAATACAATGGTGTTACTGTACTTTGGAGGCTTTCAGCAACTAGAAAAATAGTAAAAAATTAGGACACTTGTGATGAAGGCACCAAAGTATAGTAAACCTGAACAACCTAATAACATCAGTTTTCAATGTACTAAAGTCTATTCAGTTTTGGAAATGCTAATTTCCTAGCTGCCAAAAACACAATAATTTGAGTCCATGATCAAGAACAAGTATACAGTAACTGAAATTAGAGTAAAGTTGGACCTCTTTGTATATTTGTTCCTGGTCAGTGGCTCAGAAAGTTTGGAACATTTTGGATCAATGTGACAGATATAGAAATAACATTTTCAGTAGACGACGAACAATGGAATCCTATATATTTCTCAGTACAGGTGTCCTACTAGTGGGTTAGCATAGCAGCAATTGAACTAGCATTTTCACAAGAAGGTCATACATGGTAACCCCGTAATTATTTCCTGACAGGTTTCTTACTGTGATTAACCTGTTATTGCTGTTCCTATTCACAGCCCATTGATTTAAATGATCTTGATACAAGCCAATTGTTATTCTGCTAGGTGATTCAAATATATGTAAATCCATTCACTCTAAAGCAGAACTCTTTTAATCCCTTCCTGTTATAAGGTGACCGTGCCTGTCTCCTAACTGTGCTCCAGTGTTGTCACTGTCACTTGGGCTTTCCATAGAGAATACAATTAACCATTTCAATACACATTATGCAGTCCACTGTTGTCAGCATCAGGAAATGCTGTCTGAGAAATGTCTCACAGCCACCACTGGAGCACCTGCAAAGAGGCTGCAGGAGATCAGGAGCACTACGCTGCAACAAAGGATAAAAAAGCTAAACCCAGGTATTTAAAAAAATAACAACTGTTTGTGACACAGAGTAATTTAACAAACTAAATTTTGTTTAGTTAAAGTTTACATCTATTAAAAAGAAAAGAAAAATCTCATGC